TGGTTTTTCAGTCATAGAACAGAGCCTTTCATAGGAGAGGGCTGAGAGAGTGGTGCAGCATAATCAGGGATTTAGGAAGCAAGAGGACTGGTGGCAAAGAACTGGAGCCTGGAAATACAGCAGGTGAGGAGGGGGAGAGAGACAGAGAGAGACATGGAGAGAGAGGAGGGAGAGGGGGAGGGAGGGAGGGAGACAAAGAGAGAAAGAAAATACAGAGTAAGAGAGGAGAAAGAAAGAAGAGAGGGCAGATGGAGGGAGGAAGGCAAAAAAGGAAAGTGAGAAGAGGAGCAAGGTTTGGGGGAGGGGAAGAAAAGGAGGGAGACAGACAGAAAGACAGAGACAGAGAGAGAGAAAGAGAAAGAAGAGAAGGGAGGGATGAAGAGAAAGAAAAGAAGGGAGAAAGCCCAGAGCCCCAGCATAGCTTCCCTGCTCTACTAACCCAGGACTAGTTGAGCCTCTGCATTGGGCAGGAAGGCATCTCCTTCCCATCCTGTGGTAGTCTAAGGGGACTCCTGGGCTTTTCCAGCCCTGTCTTCTTCTGCTCCCATTTACCTTGGTGAAGTCACTGCTCTGGTGCAGCAGAAGGATAGCCAAGGAGTGGGGAAGACCTGGGTTCAAATCTTTCCTCTTGACACAAATTCTTTGACCCTGGGGAAGTCAATTAACCTCTCTGAGCCTCAGTTTCCTCATCTGTGAAGTGAAGGAGTTGGTCTAGATGGCCTCTCTAGCCATCTCTGCTTCATTTTCCTGTCCTACAAAAATCAGGGGTCTGGACCAAATAGTCTCTGAGGCCCCTTTGAGCACTAAAGCTGATTCTTTGCTGTGACTTCTCTCCTTCAGTCTCCAAGCAGCTGGTCTCCAGAGGGGTTGAGGGAGGGCTGGAGCAGGCAGAGGACAGAATGGGGGTAGCCGTCCCCCACTCAGGCAGGAGTGTATTTCAATTCCAAGGGCATGAAGTGAGCTCCAAGGAGATCAGTGGTGCCGCTAAGGTGGGCAAGAGGGAGTTCTAAGGGCTCAGTCTGATCTGTTCTGTGGTGTGTCCAGGAGACAGAGACAGAAACACCAATGGCTCCCTACCACATCAGGAGATACCAGGACCATGACTGGGAGCCTGTGAGGGAATTATTCTCTCAAGGATTGCTGGGGAATATGCCTTCTGACTTCCGGCACTTACTGAAGAAGCCAAGAACATTTCTGATCATCCTGGGGGTGCCCTTTGCCCTGTTCTTGGGCTCTGGCTCCCTTGTCCTGTGTCTCCTGTCTTTATTGGGCCTTTTAGCTGGCCACTGGCTGACTTTTAGGCATTGTATAATACAGTATATAGATAAGTCCTTGCACAATGACCTGTTGGATATCCAGAAATCCTACCTGAGTGGGAGAGGCTCCAGTTTTTGGGTGGCAGAGTCTGAGTACCAAGTTGTGGGCATCGTGGGTGCCCGTCCAGCTTCAGGGCCCATTGGTGGAAGAAACTACCTGGAATTGCGCCGCTTGTCTGTGAAGAGGACTTATCGAGGCAAAGGGATGGCCAGGACCTTGATCCAGACTGTGCTCCAGTTTGCCAGGGATGAGGGGTATGATGGAGTAGTTCTTGGGACTCCCAACTCCTATCACCCAGCTCAGCGACTTTATGAGAGTCTTGGCTTCTGGAAATACCATGAATCAGGGTATTACTTGAATTGGTGGCTAGGTTTCTTCTCAGTTTGGCATTACCAATGTGATTTTTCCTCCCAGAAATGACTGTCTCCCTGCCTCAACTTTCATGCCTCTCAGTGCTTTATGGATTTGTTTACGGGATCCACAACAGTGTGCTCTGCTTATTAAAGTTGTTGACTTTCCTGCCATCTTTGATTGGTTATTTCCTTGTTGCAAATGGCCCTTACCAAAAATCATTTTGGATTGAGGAGAAATCACAGAGAAAGGCAGTTCTGTATTAAAAGTCACTGAGGGAGTATCCTGTATTTTAAATATTCTAAGGGAGAATAATAAAGAATTCCCTGGCCTAGATGGTGATTACATTTTTATCCATTATACTTTCTTCTCCCCCACTCCCTTAAATATTTGTGTCCCCAGCAAAACATTGGGTGCATTTGGTGCATACGTCTGTATCCCCAATTGCACAAACTTCTCTGGGAAGGCTCAAACACTGTCCTTTTGAGGGTCTCCCTCTAGTGGTGTGTAGAATAGGGTTTCAACCACAACTATTTGGCATTTTTCTAAATGGCCTCTTAAGGAGAGTAGAAAGATCCCCAGGGAGTCCATTCAGCACTATCCTTAGATAACCTCCCAAACAATAATGGTCATGGTTGTTGTTTGGGTGACTGTGCCTCCCTAGCTCATCTAGGCTAGAAATGTAGCAGCCCCTTGGAGGGCCCAATCCCCAGGCTGATCTTCAAAGAAGCTTTACCCTTGGTCATATGGGTCCTCTTTTGGCAGCCTGGTGGCCCTTTGCTAAGTGGGGATCATGCTATTAGTGTGGAAACCCAAGTTTGCCTTTAGCCTTCCTTCAGCTCTGACCTCCTGAACTCAAGTAATCCACCACACACATCTTCCCCAGCAGCAAAGAAATACAGGTTTGCCCCAGTGCATATTGTAGAAATGACGGTCCTTCATTCTTGAAGAGGACCAAAATGACATGACTATGTTATAGTCAAGTTACAGTATGTCTGACTATGGTTGATCATAGCAATATGAGCTCAAAATGCTCTGTCCAGGTAAGGCACAAATAGTTCATGTGAACATTTCAGGTGGATTCTCTAAATTTGTGCATGTTGTGTTTCCTTCGGGCTGTTTTAATTCTGCTTTGCTCATAGAGCACAGCGGCTTCTTTGATGAGGGCATGCCATGTGGGGGCAGTCCTATGCCAGTGTCTCCCATGGCACACAATTAATTCCAAAGTTCTTAAGAGAGACCTTGAGAGTGTCCTTGTATTGCTTTTTCTGACAACCATGTGAGTGCTTGTGCTATGTTGAGTTCTCCATAAGATAGTCTTTTAGGCAGCATATGTTTGACATTCAAACAATGGGGCCAGCCCATTAGAGTTGTGCTTTCTGCAGTAGAGTTTGAATATTTGGTAATATATATGACACCTGACCTTAGTGTCTGGTATCTTATCCTACCAGCTGATCTTCAGAATCTTCCTAAGACAATTCAAATGGAAGTGATTCGGTTTCCTGGTATGGAGCTGATATACTGTAAAGGTTCCACAGGCATACAACAATGAGGTCAGCACAGCGACTCTGTAAACTTTCAGTTTGATAGTCAATTTAATATCTCTTCTCTTCCACACTTTCCTTTGGAGCCTCCCAAACACTGAACTAGCTCTGATGTGTACATCCCTGGAAAGTATACTGCCAAGCTAAGTGAACTCATCCATAGTATTCAAAATTTTGCTGCCTGACAATTCCAAGAGAAATTCCAGGAGAAGAACAGAGGTTTGTACACAGTGTACAACTGCTCTGACCAAGGCCTTTGATACTGTCAGTCCTGAGGGCTTATGGAGAATTATGTCAAAATTTGGTTACTTGGAGAAGTTCATTGGTATTAAATGTCAATTTCATGGTAGCATACTTGCCTGAGTTCTGGATAATGGACAATGCTCTCCCAGTTTCCTAGTCACCAATGGCTGTGTCCTTGCTCCCATGCTTTTTAGCATGATATTTTCAGCTAGAAATGAATAGTCTTCAGGGAGGGCCCAGGCTTATCACAGCTGGTAGATCTGGAGATTCTAATCACCCCTAAATACAAAGAATTTTGTTTGAATGATTGTGATTCTATCATTTACCTCTGTCTGTGTCTCTCTTTGTGTCTCTCTCTTTCTGTTTCTCTCTGTCTCTGTGTGTCTTTGTGTCTCTGATGGTTTATTCATTTATTCATTCATTCACCCCCCTCCTTCATCCCCATAAGAAGTTATGCAAATTCAAAAAACAAGGGACATTTTCAAGGTTTATCCTATTACTGTGCCTAGTATAAAGGACCTGTCCCAATGGAAGCCATTATAAAGAAAATAAAAGTAGAGAAACTGAAATTAAACAAACAACTTACAAAAGTGAAAAATGTAGCCAAAAGGAAAATCTGAGTTCATCCTTTCAGGA